ACCCCCTAAACCCCCTAAACCCCCTAAACCCCCTAAACCCCCTAAACCCCCTAAACCCCCTAAACCCCCTAAACCCCCTAAACCCCCTAAACCCCCTTATAACCCCCTTATAAACCCTAAAACCCTAAACCCCCTAAACCCCCTAAACCCTAAACCCGGCGGCAGGGCTCCAGGCATCTCAGGGCTTGCTTGGCTGCTCTCCTCGGTCACAGTGGGCCTTCTTCGCGCCTTTCGGAAAGTTGGGGGGTTTGGGGCCCTTTGGGGGCCTAGAGGGTTTATGGGGTATTAGGGTTTTGGGCTTAGGGTATTATGATTTATGGATTGGGTGTTGGGATTTTGGATTTAAGGTTTTAGGGCTTTGGGGAACCTATGAAAGGAATCTGTTGTGTTGTTGAGGGCCTTCCCGATCTGCGGGGAGATCCCGCAAAATCAGCCTAAGCCCGCTGGAAAAGTGTCACGCCACAAGCATAAGGCCATGCATGACAACCGAAAGCGGTCCAGGGCTTAACAGGGTTTAGGGTCTGGTTTTGCCGAACCCAACAACCACATGTACTGTGTCAACCATAAGGACCAATCCGTAGGAGCCCAGGAAGAAAAGCATCAATTGCCGCCTGCCGGCGCCCGCGCCCGGCTGTGGGAAATTTCAGCGGCGGAGCCACGAACTCGGCAGTTCTCAAATCAGGGACCGATGATTGGAAGAAGCCCGGCACAAGCCCTCAACCGTAAGGAATGACAACGCTTTGTTGGGGTTCGTGATTGCCTTGACGATCAGAACCTCGCATAGAAAGCCTTAGAGGGTGCCAGATTACAGAACCTCATCCTACCCTTTGGAGTGAACCAGACTAAAAAACCACAGAAAACCACTCGCCCTTCAACATCTCCAAAGGGTCCGAGACCGAAAATTTGAGCTTCGGCCCGAAGGGCCGTGATTTCGAGGTCCTTATAAGGGAAGATCCGACTGCTTCGGGTCTAGATTTGAGTGGGCCTTGCTGATATGGGGGTTTCCGAATTTAGGGGTACCTATTTTAATGTCCTTATAATAAGGATCCTATTATTTAGGGTACTATATTAGGGTCCCTCACTTTCGGAACTCCCACATCAGAGCCTGAGAGTCATACCAAACCACCCGACGGTCCTCTGATACACTCGTGGCACACAGCACCGGAAGACCTTAGTCAAGCCTCTATGGGGGGTTTCCGAAAATAGGAGACCCTAATATAGTACCCTCACTAGTAGGACCCATAGTATCAGGACCCCAAAATGAGGTACCCCTAAGATTCGGCAACTCCTAGGTCCTAAACCCTAAACCCTTAATAGAACCCTTATAGTAGGAACCGAGTAAGGAACCCCTAAAGGATCCCTTTAAAGGAGCCCCTAGTTTTCGGAAACTCCCTTTATTACATAAACGGAAATCATTCTTCGTCTTCTTGTCCCACCCCTACAGTGTAGGGGCCTTAATCATTAGAATCCGGTGTGGGGTGCCTTTATAGTATAAATCTAACAAGGAACCCCCCAAAACCCTATGCTACTTACGGTTGATGATATACATCCTGCATTACCCATAATAAGGAATATACCATAATTCCCATAGTTTAGGGTCCTTAAGGTAATGCAGGATTTCTATCATCAACCGTATTGTTCGGCTTTTTGGATAAGATCCAGGCAGGGATTGGACCTCTGCTCTCGGCCACCTCCGACAACTTCACCTGAAAGGCTTGAGCTTTGGGGCTGGAGGGCAGGGTTCAGGGGTTAGGGATTCGGGTTTAGGGTTTAGGGCTATAGTGGTTCATGGATGACTCTATGCGGCTTTGGGGTGCTGTTGTAGAAGCTCGCAGAAAGCTCATTGCGATGACATGAACCAGGGGTTGCCCCAGATGCCCGGCCGCAAACTAGAATGTAGACTTTCCGGTGTGTTCCAGTTTGGGTTCGAAGCCCTGCATTCCGGCAGGTGCTTCCTTCGAACATTGTTCGACCAACCCCCAACGTAAGAGCAACGTCTCGTTAATTGAAAGCCACACAGCCGCCTGTGCTAAAACCCTAGACTGCTATGCCGCTGTAACTGGAGGTTTCGGGCCAAGGCGTACATAGAGCTGTCGGATGGAACGACAGATATCAGATAAGAGATAGGTGCGGCCCGGAGCAGAGGTATGCAGCACGGATGGCCTTTCGGGGTATCTACAAGCTTTCGACATTGAGGCGATGAAGTCGTGAAGACGTGCTGACCGTGACACAGGAGCTTTCAGGCAAGCGCGAAACTGACAAATGCATCCACGGCGCCATGCGCCACAGCGCTGCGTTCTCCGCGGCCATGCCGTCGATGAGCGCTTCACGCTGAACCTCGGCTGAGGAAACGCTTCAAACCATAATTCTTCAACTGAGCGTAAAAACCCTTAACCCTAAGCCCTACACGGCATCCGACCCTCAATAAGCCGAATAGTGTGCCTTGCATCCGGGTTAGCAGAAAGCATCAAGGCCACTTGAGTGATCGCGTCTGATATGCCCTCTAAGCTCCACCTCGCGACTTATGGAGAGCCGTAGATTTCTAGCAGAAGTCATATGCCTTGTAGTCTGCATCTGAATCTAACCATCCAATATACACAAAACTCTAATTCAAACCGCCAGTTCCTGCTGCATGCACGAAGCATCCCCCTCGGCGCTGATCGAGGCGGAGAAGATGGCGCGGAGCTCCGCCAGTCTGGAAGGTTCATCAGGGCTTAAGGGTTTAGGATTTACCTATGATGCGATATGATATGATATGATGTGAAATGATGGGCTTATGGGTCTACGTAGGTGTTTCAGGGTTTAGGGCATGATGGGCTTAGGGGTTTATGTGTTTCGCGGTTTAGGGTTGTATTGGCTAGTTTTCTACAGGGTTTTCGGGTTGCAAAACTGGAAGGCTCGGGGGGGCAGCTCCTTTGAAGGGGGAAGTGGCAGCGTCCAGACATATCTTAGCTTAACTGGGGCGAGGTTAGCCTCTACCGGTCATTTTTAAAGCAAAGTTGAGCAGGAATGCCGTGTGGTTTTGCTGTTGTTTCCCTGTTGCTACGACCTTTAGGGCATTGAATAGCACGCCGCGCGCTCACACCTTGAAATCTCCGGGTGAGTCGTCCTTAAGCATGGAGGTCTGAATACAAGACATCCATAGCAATGTTCCCGTTTGGTCCCCCGAGAAATCTACCAACGTAGGTGCTTGAAAGTCTAGTCTAGTTACCAGCCAGCGTTTGCAGCAGGTGTCGGAGCCGAAGGGCAATTAAACCCGACGTTGCCTCTTCCTTTTTTCTTATACGCACCACGCCGCATTACCACACATCCCTGAAACAAGAATCCTGCAAAGCCTATATTGACGGCTTATCGTCGACGGAACTAATCGCCAGTTGAATCCGACCAAGGCCTCGTGGAACTCTGAGCTTTGCTTCGAAGCATGTCCTCTTCAGACACTTCAGATGCGAGTTTCCGAACACAGGGGACCTTAATATAGTACCCTAAACAGTAGGAACCTTATCATAAGATGATGATGGCTGTGACTACCGAGGCTTCGAGTAGAGCTTACTGCGACGTTGTGACGCCTCTCTTCTTCACACAGGGTCGCCTCAGTTCGAGTCCAGCTGTTCTCACCAGCACAGACGCCAAGAGACAGCTATGGATCCGAAAGATGATGGCAAGATGTGGATATAATAAGACAGGCGAGGGGTCGTCGCCATGGTAGTAGCGATTCTTATCGTTGTTGCTGCAGCTCTTATTATTACTGTCATGTGTGAATGGGCTGAGCAAATATTTATGACGGCAAAGCGGGGCGCACCATTGCGGTACTGCGGCTTACAATGCCTGGCCCATGTACCCATGCAGTGTATACTTTGGACTTAAATATTGGGTTCTCGTATAGATGCGTCAGGGATGACGTGTATGCGATATACAAACGTAGCATAAACCTGAATTTTGTCAGGGTCCTGGCATGAATGCTGATATAGAAGTGTACGAAGACCATGAAAACAAGTAAGTGTAGCTACAGTAGGTCAAATTACGTACTTGGTCCCTTACCCTCGACGTTATACAGATAAGAACAAGAATTAGGCTGCATTATGCAATAGACAAATTAAGCAAGCCTCGGGAACAGGATTGGTCGTTGTTCAGACTTCCATGTTGAAGCAAGACTGCACAATCCAATTACTTCCTGCAAAGAACCTCGAAACCCAGCGCCTCCTCTCGTTCCGAAAAAAAAAGAGCCCTACGTGCTTCTATAAATTGGGTCCCTTATGTTAAGCCCCTTCACAACTTTCTGTAAAGATCCTCGAAACCTAGCGCCTCTTCTACTTCCGTTAATGAGCCCTATACGTGCTTCTATGAATTGGGTCCCCTATGTTCAGCCCCTTCAAAGGGCCCTGGACCTCCCCATGGCCACACGCGTCATTGAGACACTGCTGCAGCCTGGCTTGTTGAGGCATGGTATCTCTCTTCTTCAGCAGCCGGGCCCCAAAAAGATCAAACTTTCTAATATAGAGCTAATTAATCTATAAGACCAAAAAATGTAAAGTTCCCCCCGTTCACTATCTAAGGTATCGGGGCTTTTGGGTTTATCGGGGTTTAAGGTTTAGGGTCTTCATTGTCTTCAGAATTTAACAGGGTTTTAAGGTGCATCATAGCGACAGTATATATGGACTGTATCCGACCTCTATATGACTTGTCCAGTTCCTAGGTGAACTCAAAGTCAACCGTTTGGGAGCGTGTTGGGATCGATCATGGCCGCTTGCTCACGAGTTTTGGAGTTAAGGGTTAACATGTTTGAGGCTGAAGCCTACGTTTTCATACTTTACACACATACGCCTTACCTTCTCATATTTACTCAGTATCAGGCTAACAAAAAGCATATACCGTATGTTTTCTTTAGCCAGGTACCTCAGTTCAATACTCACAACGACATATAGCACAGGCATGCTCTTCTTTTACTCTGAGTACAAACAAAAGCATACGGGCCTTAATGATTAGGGAAGGGTGTCACGAGACACCAAAAATAAGATAGGGACTGCAAGACTCGTAAATATTCACTCCACTGTTAAAAGGCTGGAGCCCAGAGATTTCAACCCCACACCCCGAGCCCGAAGACGTAAAACTCAAAAGGCTTACGAGCAGCTGTGTTTTTTTGTTTGCGGGACCTGTTCCGACTGCATGTACAGCAAGAATACCTTGCCAGGTACTGTAGAGCCTCTGTTAGAGCTTCAGCCTGCCTGCCTGCCCGCCATTGACAGCCACCCATCTATGTGGGAGTTTCCGAAAATATGGGACCCTAATATAATACCCTAAATAGTAGGATCCTATAAGGACCCCAAAATAAGGTACCCCTAATTTTCGGAATCCCCTACATCTACGCTTACCGCCCCCCAGCCAAGCTGTGTAGGCTCCAGGCTCCTTCGTCTGATTCCGCGCCCTCGGCAGCTGCTGAGCCTTCTTCCAGGCGTCTTCTTGTTTGGGCGTACATAGAAGATTTGGGCTAAGGGGTTCAGATTTTAATTAAGGTTTATATGGGGTATCTTGTTTGGCTTTTAAGGGTTTAGGAGGTAAGGTTTTTTTCAAGTTTGAGGGGTGTAAAGAGGGCTTTTAAGGGTTTAGTTTAGGGTAAGGCTTGACACATTCCTGCCTAACCTATTACAGGCTACATGAGGCATGATCATGGGCATGATCATGCCCATAAACATCCTACCCTACGGCTTGACACCGGCAGCCTAAACCATGTCCCCGGCATGATCCCTGCATGACACACGGCCCTTGTTTTCGCCGACAAATGCGTGCATCATCGAAGCTTTGCGATCACCTGGCAGATCAAAAACTTGAGAGGAGAAGAGAGAGACAAAGAGAGAGAAAGAGAGAGACACTGCACTTTCTGTGCCCAAATTCTGCCACCACCTACTGAAACTCATGCAGATGCTCTTTTTTTCTGCTTCCCCCAGCATTGCTTCCCCCAGCATGAACTTATGCACCTGCTTTCAAGGCACATTAATCATTAACAGTATCAAAACAGTGCCGCTCCGTTTCTTGAGTCGGGCCCTGTGAAGATGGTCGGCCCTGGTCGGCCGCAAGTCCATCATTAACAGAACAGTGCCGCTCCGTTTCTTCAGTCGGGCCCTGTGAAGTCGGCCCTCCTGGTCGGCCTCAAGTCCTTACTCCTCGCCTAGGATTTCATTGACCTTCTGCGAAATCAAAGGATGCACCTGCTTCACAGGCACATCAAACTCCTTCAGCGAGTCGAGCCGCTTCTTCAATCGGGCCCTCTGCCTGTCGGATCGGACCAAGAGAATGGTCTCCATGAAATAGACCTCGGTCCCGGTGATCCGTGCGAGCTGGAAAACCTCAGGCCCCTGAGCAAGAAGATCTCGGGCCTCCTGGGCCTCAGCCGGCAGATCTGGCCACGACAGTGCCTCCTGCAGCTCGGCGAAGGACTTCTGGACTGAAGCAAAGTGCTTGTCCAAGACCTTGTGGAATGGTTGGAGTCGGTCCCTGAGCACTGTCTGCCTTGCAAGTGTGCACAGCGCATCCCACATCGGGCCGCTCGGGCCGCTGGGCAAATCAGCCTTCCAGTTTCCGCCGCTCTCGGTCCCTCCTGCATGAAGCTTCAGGTCCGAGAAGGCCTGGAATGAACTTTGCAGCTGCACGCGGAATGCATCATGGCTGCTCGTCTGCAGACAAACTCGGGCCTGGGCAACTGCCTCCTCGAGATCTTTATATGATGCCACTTGCAAGTCATCCCAAGACTTGATCAGGGCACTGAGGCTTTCGATGTCATGACCGGGCCCGGACGACACATGGTGTTCAATCTTCAACCCTGTCAGAGTCTTTGAAAGCCTCGGCAGCTGCTCTGAATCCTGTGGAATCATCATAGCTTTCACCACCGCAATTGCCAGCTCGCACGTTGCAATTCCCAGAGCCGGATCATTGACCAGTCGGTCCAACCAGGCTCGGGCCTCGGTGCTTTTGCCGGCAATACCCACGTGGCAAAGTGCCTGAGATGTTCCAATGCAATATGCACACTCTACGACGAGGCCTTTGATGTCCCAAAAACCTTGAGCTGTCCTACTGTCCTGTGTTGGCGGGATAATGCAAACTCGTCCCGTTAAACGTTACGCACATTTTAAAACACTGCGACATGTGATAACTGGGTTGTGGCTGACTAGTAGTTAGTGGCTGGCTAGTGGCTAGTGCTGGTGACTGACTGTTGAACCTATTGTGCAATGGGACCAAGGTCGCTAGCTAGAGTCATTCCATGATGGCAGTATGCCCGAACACATAGGAAGTAGGTCTGCATAGATCGACAGCCATGTATCCACTTCAACTGATGCAGATGAACCAAGTCAATTGTTGCATCCTCAGGATTCTGAGGCACTCTAAGGGTTCCAAGTTCTATGAGAATGTCCATGGCTTTTGCTATGCAATTTGGGTCCTGGAAGTTGCTGTCGGCTTATTATGGGAGTGAAGGGATGTGAACACCGGCCGGGGAGTCCAAGCAGCCTGGCATGACCCAGGCAGAATTGCTCTCTGCAACATGAGACATCAAGTTGACAAAGCTATGAACTTCAATCTCCATAGAATAGGAATAAAGACTTGCCCTGTCAAGGCCGCTTCCAGACCTGGGACATGAGAGTCTAAGTCCTGTGTCCTGTCCCAGGTCCTACAAATGGGCTAAGTGAAATTAGACCAACTGCAACAGAACAATTTGCGAGGAAAGTTGCGCTAATGTCCGCTGTAGCAGACTCCACATCTTCCGGCGAAAGTTCTTTTCCTGGGTCCAGTGCAGCATCGAGCCAAGCCAGTGCTTTGCGACTTCTCAGTCGCACATTGAGCTTGTCGATGGTAGACTGGAAGTTCTCTCTTTCTAGAGAAAAGCTCTGACCCAGGATCGCGACTTTCCTGGCCCAGCCCTCTCGAAGGTTGAAGACTCGGACCTCAGTGGTACCCACAAATTTTCTCTTCAAGCAAACGTTGGGTCCTTGTTCATGGATTGAGAAGAAGCACTGTGCACGACCCTAGTACTTCATTTGTAACTGGTATTTGCATTTGCACATCTGCAGTTTACCCGCATAGCTGCAAGGGTTACCATTTAAATTCATTTAACCTCTTTATGACAGGTTAGAACGACAGCTGGTTATATGTCATCTGTATAAGGATTTCATGATTTGGACACTGCCTGCAAACATCATTCACCAGTCAAGACTCCAGCTCTGCTGCCCTTGCATCTGCAGTGTCTTCCGGGTCAGACTCTTCTGCATGCAGCAGCCTTGAATGAAGCTTCTGCAAATCGATTGCCAAATGCTTTTGGACTGCCTCAGCCAAAAAAGCCAGAGTCTCAGTGTTCAACTCTCGAGACCAGGCCCCCCAATTGGCTTGTAAGTCGGCCCAGGCTGCATCCAGCTTCTCTTCATCACCGCCCTTCAAAGCTTCCAAGCAGTCTCGGACCACGGGCTCATGCAGCACCTGGGTACTCGCGCCCAACCAGAATCGGTCCAACCTTTTCCTCCAGGCGGCGCTCTGAAGGAGCTTCGCCACCTTGGAGGTGGCTGCAATGGACAGCACTGGATTGTGCTTCCGTTTGGTCCATGCCTCCAGCTGATCATCTCTCACCGGCAGGCTCTGCACCAAAGCACCCACTGCTCGGACCGTTTGCACCATGAGCTTTGCCTTCTCAATTTTCATCAACTCGGGCTCATCCGCAGACTTCTGCAGCATTGTCTCGCTTAGCTCTTGCAGGCCAGCCACATCATCGTTTTGCATCATCTCCGGCAGACAGTAAGACACAACAATGTCGTGTGCAAATGTGACCTTGTCCTCCTGACTCATTGCCAGGGTTGCCACTCGGGCCTCTTCTGCATTGAAGAGGTTTTCGGACAACTTGGGCCACAGAACCTCAAAGCAACGAGCAATGTTCTTATTCGTGCCTGCCGTCAATCTCTCACACCTTCTTTGCACCAGTCCCTTGCAAGTAACCAATGGCAGCGGGCCTGGCCAGAAGGGTTGAAGTGTGAGAAGATGCTGGCCAATGTGGTCATCCTCGAGTTTGCCGACGGATGAAGGCCGAAGAGCCTCTGCCGCATGAAGGGCCGCCAAGTGATTCTTGAATCGGGCCAGGTCCTCTTCCTTGCCAGCTTTCTCCATGGCAGGCACCCTCTCCCGCATGTGATACAAGGTGACTTTTGGCTTGTGGCACTGATCAAGAAGAAGCTTTTCCACCGACAGCTCGTCCGAATTGGGGCCGGATGTTGTCGACTTGGGCGTGCTGCTCTGGCTCAGACGGCGCCTTTGTTGCCTTTGCCAAGATGTTGGAATGGCCGACAAATCGGGCCTTCGGGCCGAGCCGTTGGCCTGCAGGCAAAACTGCTTTGTTGTGTCTTTGGCTTACTGACGGACCAGAAACCTGCTATTTGTTTGCTTTAGCTGCAAACGATACAGGAACAGTGGGGGCAGTTGCCCACATCATGCTAACTTGCAGGATGCTGCCTGGATTAAGAGGATTACCAAGGCGACTGTGCTATGAACTGCCTGGCCTCTTGAAAGCAGCTGCCCAGTTGATGGGCTGCTTCCATCGCAGCTGCTGCAGCATTCTTGGTGGATTGCAGCACATTCTGCATATTCCACTCTCCCGGAACTTCCCCTCGTTGCAACTGCTGCATGCGCTCCAGGATGGCAGCAGTGCCTGCAGCAGCACTTGCTGCTGCTGCTGCCGATGCCGCTGCAGCAGCAGCTGCTCCACTCAGTGCCCTCAATGTCGGATCTTCATTGCCCGTCCTGGGTTTCCATCTTGCAAAACAACAATTTGCTGCAGCTGTAGCTCTGGGTGCTCCAAACCCATGCATCAGTGAAGTAGGCTATGCTCTTCACAGGAAAATACAGGAGTAGGCCTAAAGAAAAGAAAAAAAACAGTACATGGCTGAATGAGAAGAGGGCTATACTTGTTTCTGCAGTTTGGGTTTAAACTGCTAAGTGTTGCTTCACAAGCAACACGTTTGCTCCCTCTGCTAGTCCACAAACTTCTGGGACGTAGGCCAAGAGAAAGTTTCCTTCTGTAACCATTGTAACCCTTTCTCATCTGAGGTCTTTGAATCTGGTTGGTGATTGCAATTTCAAGCAGCTGCACTGGTCAGCACATGAACATGAGTCATTTATGAGCAATGGTGTTTTAATTTCAAACGTTGGAAAATATACTTAAAAATGGACAATGTCCCAATTGACCGTGCCATGCTTCGTGGCTGGACTCGGGCCACTGCTCGGACCATCTGTGTTCGGGCCATTCGGAGTTGCCGAACCTGGCCTCGATAATGATGTGGGCGTTGTCTCGCCGAACAGATTAGAAGCACCTCCGGAGTTCGATGGTGTACCATCCATCCCGACTGACGGCAATCTATGGTTTCTCACCTTGACTGATTGCCGTGTTTGGCAACGGCACTGGCAAGCAGCAGCATGTGTGTTCAATTGTCCAGGGAAAGCCAAGCACAAAGCACCCCAGCATGCTGCATATTCAGTCCAAGCCTACGGCCTAAGCCCATGCATTGTGCTGCACGTCAGCTCATGTTACCCTAGCAATGACTGTAAAACATGCCAGGCCATCAAGGCAATCTCGGGCCCCGAAATCCTGCTGCCTGACCTCGGAGAACTTGCAGGTGCACTCATGTAGCATGTACAGTCTAATGTTGACCACCTGCAGTTTCTAAGAACCCTGACATCTCAGGAACTGCAGCCCTTGCTACGTCCAGACCAGCTGAAGTCAACAGACCCAGAACACTGGACATGGTGCATGGAAGGCACGTCTTTCAGCATGATGCAATGCTCAGAAACAACCAAAACTAGTGTCTGTAGCACACTTGTCACTGACTCTGTCTGACACGAACAGCAGTCTTATACTTGCACTTTACACTTGACACTTTACGCTCTACACACTTCTAAATCTGCACCACTGCCAGACTTTTGCACAAGTCCATGATGCTGTAAGCTGCGAGCACTATCAGACAGAGACAGAAGAGGAGGGGGTGAGACAGACACCGGGACGGAGGCCAAGGAACATGATGTGTATAACTTGGCAATGGCCAGTGCCAATGACTTCAAAAGAAGTAAAGGGCAATGAAACAGACAGCAAAAGCAACATGAGAGCGACGATAAGGCATTCATCTCTATCCCGAATCTGAGGGCGACTGCTCGCCGACTGTGTTAAATTCGGATGAGTCAGCGGAAACGACCTTTCCATGGACAACAAGACCAGCTGCACGTGGCATGGCAAGTTCGGTGGATCCCGCACCCACGGGTCCAAGGCAGAAAATTCTAGCACTGCACGAGACCCTATCCGGGGGCAAACGGCAATCCAGGGGGCAGCAAAAAGAACAGCAATGGAAAGAAAGGCCACACGTGCATCGACTGGAGCAAGGAGGGCTAGTGAACAAATACTGAAGGCTTGGGAACAGTTATGCAAAAGAAGTGACAGGAGCAGGATGAACTACATCTCCTGAGATTTCTACCTTGCCTTGATTCTGGGGCCTTAAGCCTTGAGCTCCATGCAATGTGAATGCCGAGCACATAACCATGGAAGATCCAATTGGCGACAACGATGAAATGCAATATCTGCTACTGTGATCTTAGTAAACACAACAGCGGGTAATTTGTATTTTACATGGCCGCCCAAAGTTTCCAGCGATTCAGTTCTGACACTGCAGTGTAAGCAAGTTTTTTGCGCAAAGTAATTAATTGCTCAGCTGCCAACCCTTCCACCACGAAGCCTTCTGTTGTGCCATCTGCATGTAGCACCTGCGAGTCGCAGCCGGGTGATTCCAGACTTCAGGCTTGTTGGTTGCGGGTCCCGGAATCCTGGCAAGAATGGTTGATTGGGATGCAAAACCCTTTGATCTTCATGGCCCGGTACCAAATCAGAGTTACTAGCTCTACCGGCTGGCCTATGGCGGCACGCCAAATTAAAAAACCTGAGAACTGAAAATTCATCAAACTCTCGTCCTCTCGTAGGGTCTACCAGGTCTAGACTAGACTAAACCAGCAAGCATGTCGGCTGACCCGGCGGCCGGCAGCGGCGGTGGCAGTCGCTGGCATGTGGCCGAGGAGGGCTGGGGCTAAGACCCAAAGCCGGCAGGCATGTTTACAAAATCACTCGGGCCTAGGGTGAGGTGCTTACCCTGTGCCGCCTTCTTGCTATCCAGCCACAAGGCTTAGTCTAGCTCCAGTCTAGAAAAATTAATGGTGGGTGTGGTCGAAGGGCTCGGGTCTAGCTGTGCGATGTCCGTCGTCTCCTTGTCCTTGCTGTAGTCTGTAGGATTTCGAGCCTCGTCCTCGTGCTTCTGCTTTGACACCTTCTCGGAGCTGGGCGGATGGCCCGTCAAGGACACTAAGGCGCTCCTCGGCAGTGTGGGCTTTGCCGGTTGTGCCGGATGCTTTCCACGGCTGGTCCGGGAAGTACACTCCTTGGCCGAAGCAGGACCTTTCCACTGTGCGTCCTCCTGCCACGGCTTCTGTTTCTGGCTGTAGGTCAGTGTAGGTACTTGGCATCCCTGGGGCTGTGTATGCAGCCACTGTGAAGCAATGGGGCACTTTCTGACCCTTGTGCTGAGAAGGTGCTTCGACTGCACCTGGCAGTAGATGAATTGGGCCAAGACCCGGTGTTTCAGCACCAAAGCTTGCCACCGTCAGGTTCTCGACCACGAAGAAAGAATTAGGGACAGGGTTCAGGGTTGGGTCTTGATGCGGTTCTTGGGCACTGGAGTTCAAAGCTCTTTGTGGCTACGGCTTCGAGAGGCTCATGTACTTGCCTTGTTGAAGTGCAGAGAGGGCATCTGGTTCAGGGTAACACGTTGATGTTTGTTTCAGAAATACATTCTGGTACTGCAGGTAGAACCACCAGCATCAGGACTTCATTGTCAAGAGGACGAGGCTGCTTAGGTTTCGGCAATGACACTCGGACAATCCAGGTGAGACATATGGCATATGGGTTTCTCTAATTTCTAAACCGAAGAAACCAGACTATTGCAAAGCAGCCACTGGCCCCGATGCTCGGAGAATCGCAAGCCCTGACACGACCCCTGACGCCGCAAGCCATGGCGACAGCGACTACTTCTAGTGTAAACGTGAGGAATGTTGCTAAGCTGCAACATCGACCCGAGAGTAGGACAGGCACCAGAAGCCCCGACAATGCCCCTGAAGCTCTATCCTATCTAAGCCTTTCCAAAGGCGACGTATGGCCGGACTCCCGAAATTTGCAAACCTGGAAATCTGCACGAGGCGACGAAAACCAGAAACCCTGCCACTGCCAAGCAATTCGACCCGGCGAGACCTAGGACAACCGCAAGCCGTGAGACTGCCCCTGACACTGCAGCTTTTCGTGCAACGATCGATTTTTATTACTGTTTCAGTGCCCACTGGGGCTTACAATGCCGTGAGTCACTACATGAAACCACCTACTACCTTCGCTTTAAGACTTGAAGACTTTAAGATTCCAAAGGAATCGGCCCAATGGAAAGTATTACAGTACGTACAGACATACAGTCCACAACCGCAGCAAGCCAACAGGAAAAACAGGACACCCGGCCCTCATCTTCCATTTAAAAGCGAGGATCTGGAGGATCTGCTATCTGGGGCTTGGTGCTCATCTAGAATCTAGAGTTTTTTTCAACTCCTGAACGACGAACCCCCGGCCTCAGAATCGAGGTCAGCCGCGTCTTTGGGGCCACTTCCTCAAACCTCACATCGTCGGGCTCTGGCTTCTGGGCTTCAGAAATTAGTCCTAGCAGTTTTAGCTGAGAATGCACTCATCAGGACGGTGTGCCACGTGACTGACATGGTTTTCGTTCTGCCCAAAGGAGGACACGAGGTCAGAGCTCGGTAGGATTTAAGCCTGACCACGAAATTGGTATGGCACAGCACAACACGGCCAAGCACACCGAGATGTGACACAATGTGAGCTTGCCTCGTTTTCCCGGGCTGCGACTGCACCGGAAGTTTCTATCGCGGCCACTCAGTAAAAGTTTTGTAGATTAGCTAGTCACCTAACGGACTCAGGAGTATTTGGGAATGAACACTGAAGCTTTGATGGTCCTAAAGAACAGATGCTGTAACCCATTTCAACATCTAGAGCTGAAACTTGCAAGCACGGTAGCCTTGCCGGAAGCACAGCCAGGACAATCTCATTGAATCCACACATGGGTCCAAGGACAAGGCAAGCTTCAATGCAGGCCCAAATGCACATGCAGCAGTGATTGGTGCACTCTGGAATTTGTTTTTCATCTGTGCAACACCTCGGGCCATGGAATCCCCCTCCCTCGGCCAGATCTGGGCAAATTACTAAGTCCGAAGTCGCAAGTCACTAGCAGCTAGCAGCCATGCTCTGCACGTAGTTTCTCGAGAGCGCTCTCGAGAACTGAAATTGTACGCTTGGCATTTGCCAATTCCGGCAGCACAGCCTTGAGCTGCTCTGAATCTCGCAGCAGGCTTTCGTGCTCTTCAGCACAACGGAGAAGGTGCAAATAGTGCCCTTCTGTGAGTCCTCGGATGAGGTGGGGTCTGCAACAGGAAAGCATGTGCTGCCCTGCCAAAGTCAACAACCCTCCAAAAATCAATGAGGTCCAAGAATCGCGGTCGGACCTCTCTCTCTAGCGGATCTTTCTCCCCTGCCCGCTTCTTCTTCAGTGATCTTGTCTCTTCGCGGCCATCCCGAAGCTTCTGCTGCTCTTCACCTTCTGGCTTCACCATGTCCATTCGGCCCTCAATGTCTAGCATATGTTGACCTCGAGAGATTGAAGGAAACACTGTATTCACTGGATGTTCGCCTGCTGGGACAAGTGCACCAGCACCATCATCTTCGGGCCTGTGACTGGCGGTATCCTCACCATGATGTTCGCCTAGGGCTAGGGCTTTAGGACCTGGATGTTCGCCTGCTGGGACAAGTGCAGCAGCACCATCATCTTCGGGCCTGTGACTGGCGGTATCCTCACCATGATGTTCGCCTAGGGCTAGGGCTTTAGGACCTGGATGTTCGCCTGCTGGGACAAGTGCACCAGCACCATCATCTTCGGGCCTGTGACTGGTGGTATCCTCACCATGATGTTCGCCTAGGGCTAGGGCTTTAGGAATTGAAGGGGTTGCAGCTCATGACTTTGTGGGCGGCTGGAAGGGGGTGTCTTCAGTAGACATGTCATGTGTGGAACTTAAAGCCATGGAGACAAAACCACAGAAAGAAACCGATATCGTCGACGAGGCTCCTTGAAGCACAGGTTCAGGCTGTACCCTACGTCGACGGCCATTGAGTCTAGGGTAGGACTTCGACCATGGCGACTCACCGAACCGCCGGATATTTCTTGGAGGCGTGATCATGGCTGCGGACTGGGAAGGAGGCAATGAATTACATTCACATGGCATCCTTGCAGTTGTACTCAACATGTGTGCCTGCAATCAACACTGTCACACCAAAGCGGCAAGTCTGGACACCAGCAGGCCATGGCGGCAGCATGCCACGCCAACGTCAGCACAGACACACACACACACACACACACACACACACACACACACACACACACACACACACTCACACACACACACAGCCTCCAAGTGCCGGGCCTTTGGCATCCCACACCGAAGTGTTTCCGTCCTGTTGCACTGTGGGTTAAAATCTAAGAAGAAACCAGGGGCACAGTGAATGGATGCAGAAAATGAGGCAAAGGGATGATGACGGTGCAGGATGGCTTGGCTGGCCTCACTAGTTCATGAGCTGCCAGGGCACCATGAGCTACAGTCATCTAGGGTAGGATGACATAGGGCGACTTGGACCCATGATGCCTTTTGCTGGAAAGCACATTTCAAGGGAAGCTGTTTGCATTCTCGGAGCTGCAGCCATGATGCATTCTCATCTCTGTTGGGGCATGCAAGGACTCTGTTTCTGTTTCGCCCTGCAATGAGGGAGAACGAAATCTCGGCGACCTTGTCCCTACACACGGTCTGTAGGAATTTGCAGATTCCCATATGGGCTGCCATGGGGCACAGTCGCTGAAGAGTTTGGTTGTTGACTCTAAGAAGCCTGCAAGTGGGCAGTGCTAGCCGGTTGCCAGTTAACGCCCACTACTACAGATGTCTTAATTTCCGTATTTTGACTTTTGGAAGGCTTAGGGTTTAGGGCCTTGCCTGCTCTCAGCACGGAGATCCTGCCAGTGATGCCAGGAACACCACCACACAGCCCGTCGTCCGCCGGTGTCGATGCGGCTGGTGAGCTGGATGTGAGCTCTGGCGCAATGAATAAAGGTTGTCGGCGAAAGTGCAGAGGCTGGTACGGACAGATTCAACATCCGGTCTTGTCCAGCTTGCATGTTCTGCGATGGCTTCCTTGAGGTTCCGAACCTTTGGCCCACTCCGGACGGTAGCCGATTTCTTGCAGTGGCCACGGAATCTGAAGTACCTGCTCAAAGCTGCTTGTTTTGAGCAGCTGGCTGCAGGTGATTCTGGCTGGGCAGGCATCTCCGTCTCCGTTTCCAATCAGCTGAGAGTCTAGGGTTTAGGGTTAGTGCGGCTTCAGTGTTTCATGCTTTTACTTGGGTGCGCTTTAACCTCTGCAGGATTGATGACGGTTCCTGGGTACGACGTGGATCGGGCCTTCTTTCTCTGGGGCCTGGAATCCACAAGGCTTATTTAGCTTGGGCTTCGGGAGGCCTTTCTGGCTCCTGTTCTGCCACGGTCGACAGGAGCCAGAAGGAGCCTGGGGGGAGAACTTGTGGTGAATGTAGTTTCCGTCTTCGGCTCCAAAGAGGGAAACTGCAGTCACTGGACCCCAACACCAATAGTCAAGTCAATGAACTAAGTCTTCAACCCAAGCACCGACACCCCGCCAGCTAAACCAGGGCCAGTAAACGACCTTGTCAATTCCAAGACAGGGAACACCACCGAGGCCTTCTCAAACCTTTTAACCCTGAGACCCTGTGCAGAAGTTCAACCCTTGGATTCCTAAAACCCTAAACCAGCCTAAACGTTTATTTTTTTCTGAATACAACACAACTAAAACCCTGGTATCCTAAACCCTGGCTGCCGAGCCGTCCTTCCGGTTGAAGGAAGACCTAGGGGGTGCTGGTGGGCAGTCGGTGGGGGGGGCACATTACAGCAAAGCCTGGGGCCTCTGAATCACTAATGCTTGGTTGAAATGAGACTCGTGGAAGATGTCTTTCTTGCTAGGCTTCAGGAGTCCCAACAAGGCCTGGCTTGGAACTAGCTTCCACTAACCTGTAAAGCTTTAACGGGACAGATGCCGAGCAAGTGGCACGGGGGCACACCAACACCTATGGACTGCTGCATGTGGACCCTACTATGGACTTCTCTGAACCCCTATGGACCCCTAAAGACCCCGATGGATTTCTATGGACCTCGATGAACCTCTATGGACCCTTTGTATTTTTATCAGACCGGCCTTGCTCTGCATTACTTTTAAAAACTCTGCTCGCAGTTCGCAGCACAGATAATCATGGCCATAAGGCAGAGTCTCGAATGGAGGAGACAAGAAGCCGAGGCACCACCACTAGTATCTGGACCGCACCAGAGCCTTGTTTAATCCATGTTCTCGATTGTGAGCCATGTACTGTGGTACTCGGGCCGAAACGAAGCAGGGCTGCAAGCGTCTATGACGACTTGGTGCAGTGAAACAAACAGGACATGAGACCAGTTCAGGGAAAGTGGAACCTGCAGAAGGTGCTGGCCCAAGAACGGGACCACTGCTTTCCAGAGGCCAGGCAGTTAACAGGGCGGTCGACCTTGGTAATCCATGCAGTGAAACGGTGTCTGTGAGCCCCCAGCCCCCCTGAACCACGTGCCTCAGGATAGGTTTTTCGGGCTTCCACCCCACAGGCCATGTGTGCCTTCCATTCGGGCTTGGCATGTTGGCCACGATGGGACTGCTGCTGGGGTGTCCCCGAACGGGCTAGGCGGCCGGTTGGTAAGGGAAGCCGGCCATGCATACAAATCCGTCTTTTCACAGAAAGGATTGGCCCTGTCTGACTGTCTAAGGATTGTTTGTGTCTGAGCTGAACAGAAGCCAGTGGACGCCGGGGACATGTAGGGGTCCAGGAGATGCAAGGCAGGATGGGGGCTGGAGTTGGACTCTTCAGTGGGATTCCAAGCAGGACTGGGAATGTTTGATGGCAGCTGCATGTTCTGGCCCCTCAGCACCCATTCCCGCCAGACGTGCCTTTTCCAAAGACCACCCTTAGGTAGCATTGTAGTTGTTGTAATCATCCAACTAACAACAAACTCCAACTAAGCTCAGCTTCTTCCACACACTCAAGCCTATC